TTACATATACCCAGTAGCTGGTGCCAGTCTCACTGGCATGCCAATTCTTGGCTGGCAATGCACTGGACCCAGGTCGTCTACACGAGTCCAGTCAATCGTGAACCTTCGTCCATTTCTCAATTTTATCGACTTCTAAATAGTATGTACATCTAATACTTTTAATTTAATTTTTTATTTTTTTAATCGTAAGGCCTTCCATTTCTTTCTGAATTAGTTGTAGAACCGATATGCGCGTTCGTTTGTTTTTGTATGTGTCGCATTGGATATTCCAACACCGGCACTGGTGTTACGTGGTACGCGGGTAAAAGCTGCTGGCAAGAAAAATAGATACACTCTTTATTTGCTCCACCAGTGCTGGCACACACAAGTGTTTACACGGTGCTACTAATATACCAGTGCTGGGCATGACGATGAGACTGGCACCAGATACTATTGGATACGTGTAAATCAGCCTTACTGCAAACATAATTTGGCTCATTTACTCAGTTTCGAAAAATTCTATATTTTGTTTTTGTTGTAAAATTTTCAGTAAGACTTTCAATAGTTTTTCTCATACTTATGGTTTTTCTGATTGGCAACAGGTGTTCTTAGCCATAAACATACATGAAACATGAATTGTATATAATTTCCAAGGCCGGGGGGCGGGCAAGCCGGGCAAGCCGGGCCTCTGCCCGGGGCGGCAACCTTAGGTAGCAGCAAATGGGCTGTAAAATTAACTAGTTTATGAAGAAACCAAGATTCATTTGAATACTTGAGAAAAATTAATGGGTGGAATTTTAATAAAATTTGCTTTTAATATGCTCTACGAACTTTTATGTATAGGTATCCTCACTTCAAAAATTGTCAAGCATGAGAATGACATAAGAAGATGATTAGAGTTTTCATTTATTAAAGAGCAAATACAAAACCGCATCAAAAATACAGAGCAATATAGATAAAATATTTCAAGGAAACCGCTCGCAAGCATAATAAACTCCCTTTTAAAAATAGCATAAAAATGTTCCTTTTTATTATAATTTAAATAAATGGACTATCATACAAAGTGCTGTAAAATAATTTGTCGGAACATGTATGGCGTCGCGAAAAATCAGTCATGACAAGATTTTTACTTTATTATTATAAAAGTAAAAGAGGCAGTTCTATTGTTTTATTTATGAAATAAATACCTTACAGGTTGGTTACTAGTAAAGTAAAGTGCGTTACATACAATTATTATTTTCTGTGAGTTTTTTAAAATTGTTCCAAAAGGTGTGTTGTACAACGTAAAGAATTAAAAAATAGGCAGCTTTTCTAAACAAATATTTAAATAGCTTCTACAGGATGTTTTTGGACAATTTTTTAGCCACTTTGCTGTTTTATACAGTATGGCATTTAAATCATTTAAATCATTTAAATCATTAAAATTATTTATTAATTCTAGATTGTTCTTCTGATGTGATCAACAACATCGGAGCGCAATTAAACCGCTCTAAATATCGTTGACGAGTGGTGCAGGGAGGAGAAACTAACAGTAAACCTTCGCAAAACCAGTCAACTTCACAAAACTAAAGGTACTGACAGGACTGGAGAGTCACCAGTACTGAAAGGAGTAAAGATTCCATTTTCCCAAGAGTCCAAATACTTGGGAGTCATCTTTGACCACAGGTTAACATGGAATCAACACTTGCAAAAGCCGCCCAAAAAAGATTTTAACTTATGTCGAAGATTTTATTGAAAAAATTGGGGACTACAACCAAAAAGGTTCCTATGATTGTATACTAGAGCCTTAAGGCCTATGATAACCTACAGGTCGGTGGCAAGGTGGCCAAAGACTCGGCAAGCTAGATCCATTCGACAGCTCAACGGCATTCAGAGGAGGCAAGAATGCTTATGAGCCACGGGAACCATGATAAAGACTTCAACAGTAACCCTAAAAGTCATGTTAAACCTAACACACATATTCATTCAAGGCGAAACCAGGTTTGTCACATACAGAATGCACAAAGGCCATAAGCAGTTTGCATGGACGTGAATACAGCAAGCTGAAGACTTGAAGAACGACCAAATAATGGGAATGCGTTCAGACGAAATGCTCCCAAAATATAGCTTCCAAAAGCAATATAAAGTAGCTATACCAGACAGGGAAGCATAGACGAGAGGACCACCTATTCACGCAGATGGCTCCAAAACCTATGAAGGTTTAGGAGTAGGTATATATAGTACCAAACCAAAGACAAGAATATCACTGAGCTTAGATAAACATGCGACAGTATTCCAGGCGGAAATAGTAGCAATACACCACGCCTCGCAAAAACGGTATTAAAACATAAGGTAAATGTCATATACTCAGTCAAGAGCCATTCAAAGCACTCAGTTCCAAGCAGGTAGACTCAAAGCTTGTGAGGGACTGTTTGGAAGCCCTAACAGAGCTGAGTAGTCAAAACAGATTAACCTTAGCCGGGGTACCAAGCCACACAGGACACAAGGGCAGCGAAGAGGCTAATTTACTAGCCCGAAAAGGAGCCTCAAAGGCTTTTATTGGCTCAGACCTTTCTATGGTATCAAAGACAGTATTAGAACATGCAGAAAGCAGTGGATGTTTAAAAAATGTCAGGAATGGTGGATACATTCACCAGGCCAGAGACAGGCCAAAGATTTGTTAAAAGGGCCATCCCCAAAAATCATCGAGCATCTACTAGGCCACAATAGGAAAGATACTAGACTACTAGCAGGCTTAACAAACATATGTATAACATCGGTGGTCTAGCAGAAGAGACCTTGTGTCGACTCTGTCAGGAAGAGGAGGAAACTGCAGTACACGTTTTGTGCTACTGTGAAGGTTTGTCAAGAATGAGATTCCTTACGCTGGAGAAGTACTTCCTACTCTATGGAGTCTACTACAAAAGACCAAACTGGACACGATACTCTAAACAAAGATTAAAGGGTTTTCACAATAGATCTGAAAAGGTCGAGGTGGGGGAGGTCATATGGCCCACAATCCCAATTAAATCTAATTTAATGTCACCAATATCGAGCAAATGACAGTCTTAGTAAGGTATGTATCCATTGACAAATCCAACCCTAATGAGGTTTCCATTAAAATTAATTAAATCTTTTAGGCTTTTTTCCGGATGAAATATCGATGGGCTCTGAACTCTAATACTTAAAAGACTTGAAACAATGGGATTAAATTTGCAAGATCTGAGGGGACAGGCTTACGATAATGGGGTCAACAAGAGAGGCGGTAAATCGGGAATGAAATCTAGAAAGAAAGCGTTAAATCCTCAAGCATTTTACCTCCCATGTAATAGCCACTTATTAAACTTGGTCGTTAATGACATGGCAAAAGCATCCTTCGAAACCGCCAATTTTTTTAATACGGTTTAAAAATAATTTATTTTTTCCTCATCTACTTTTCTATGTACCATATTAATAAAAAAATGTCTTAAGTAAATAGATGTATAAACCCATTGAGGTATCAATTAGGAGGGATATACGATGCTTCATTTGCTGTTTGTAATAATTCAGAGATTGACAACTCTATAAGAGTTGAGGCTTCTGGATTATTGAGTTGTGTTAAACCATTTAAGTTCTTATGTTCCATTGTAGTTTGGTACAAAATCTTAAATTGTATCAATCCAATAAGTAAGCTCTTGCAGACAAAAGACTATGACTCTTTAAAGGCTCTTAGATCTGAAACGCCCTTTAAACAAATGCTTTGCCATGTGCGAGAACTCACCGACTAAATTGACATATCGGCTAATTTTGAGCATACCCAGCCAACAATAGACCAATCTATCAATGCACTTAAATCTAGGTTTGATTTGATCAGTACCCACAGCAACTATTTCCGGTTTTCACACAATTTTTATTTATTGTAAAGATCTAGAAATAGTGGTAACTGATGGAATTACATCGGATATAAACGCGCTAGACCTGGCAGACGAGATAGTATCGGTTTTTGCCTTACTAAATAAAAAAGAAATTCCAACCGAGGTTTTAAAATTCATTTCAAAGCTGGATTTTGCTCAAAATCTTGATATAGTTTTAAGAATCTTGCTTACTCTGCCAATAAGTATGGGAAGTGGAGGAAGAAATTTCTTCAAATTAAAGTTAATTAAAAGTTTTTACTCTCTACAACTACCGAGGATCGGCTAAAGGGCTTGACAACATTAGCCATTGTACATGAGCTAGCTAAAGAAATTTATGTCAAAAAAATTATCAAAAATTCTCAGAATTAAAAGTTTAACTGTATTTTTAAACATTAAGTTTTTATTTTTAGTGGTTCGATAATTTGTTTTATTATCTTTTTAATATATGCATTTTATAATTATTATAATTAGATTTGGGTCTTTAATTTTTTTTTTTTTCGTTTAACATTAATTTCAATTAGTACTAAAATCATAAGTCAAAAAAGTTCAACATTTTTAATACTAATTTTTTTGTTCATGTTTTATTTAACTACTAAGCGTGGAAGGGTTTAGGTTATCTTTTTTAATTTTTGTCATAAAGGGGCTGCATTTTACCCTTTTGCCCGGGGCAGCGAAACTGCTATCGCCGGCCCTGATTTAAATATTATAACAAAATTATGTAGAAATAATGATAACAAAAATTAGAAAAAGAAGCTTATATTATTTTCAATTTCCTGAGGTAGGCGATTTGTTAAATCTTTGTTTAGTTTTTGGATTAAGTGTCTATAAATCTATTTATATTATATTTAAAAATGTCTAGTGTGTTCACATTTATTGGCACCACAATCAACCAAATCAAAATTAGTGTATATATAATATGATCTATTAAGGTCATATTGTTATTAAAATACGTTGGATCAGAAATAATTTCATTTAATTAAAAGATATCATTAATGTTTAAAAGATAATTAAGTTGTTACACCCTGTATAGTTTTTATTTTGTATTATCTCACTTTGTAAGCATTCGGCTTGATAAAGTAAAACCATAATAAAGACTTTACGAAAATTATAAATTTTCGATTAAAAAAATATAGCAAATTTTAAACTAACCTCTGGTTCTTCTGCAACAACCTCTTCTTGAATCTGTTATAAACACTTTCGGGTCTTTCTTCGGGCATATCAAACTTAACACGTCCGTGACTCGCCACTAAAGCGGGTCTCGTCGCGAACCCAAGATCCATTTGAACATCCACAAGGACCAACAAAGTGAACAACACCACGGCAACGCACAAACCGACAACCACCCGTTCTTTCCATTTTAACCCGCCGCGAATCATCTTCGAAACCGCGACACTTTGATCGATTTGCGACAATTGCGACGAGTTCGAATTGCACGAAGCGAATTCAGCGGATTTGAGTTTTGACGACGCGACACCACACTGTATTATGCAATTGTTTGGTTCGTTTGCTTCTGGCGGTGGTGAATATTTAGTTTTTAGGCGTAAATGATTATTATTATTATGACTAACGATTATTAGTTTTTCTTTGGATAAATCTTTGGTTTCAATCACTTCAGTCTGTTTACCTACATCTCGAACTCTCCTCAGACCCGACTTGTTCAATTCGAGTGGTCTGTTGTGTATGAATTGTGTCGAACTATCGGTAACATGATAAGGTGGTGATAAGTTATCTTGAATTAAGGAGCAAGTCTCGTTATTCAGTTCCGTTCCAGACTCTTTACTTGTTATTTTCTTTAAACCATTATCTAACTTGCGTAATGCTGCATTGAGATAGGAAAATTTTTTCGAAATTTTTTTCTCTTTGGCTACTATCGGAATTTTTTCGTTTTTACGCGATATAATTGAAGTGTAAAAATCATAATTATTATTGTTCAGTAACGATTCTTTTGTGGGTTCATTGGTTTTGTAGCGTTTTTCTAAGATTACCGAGTTTTGAAGTACGTGTTTTTTTGTAGTCGCATTCTGTTGATGGTTTGGTTTTTGAGACAGAAACGTCGGGCTTTTCTGTTGGAATGTGTTGTCGAGGGCTGCAAGATTTGGACATTGCAGCCTGTTTAAGTTGCCAGGATCCAGTTTTTTCTTTCAGTCAATTTTTGTCTGCAAATAAATATGTTTGTTAATAAAATATATGTACTATAGTCTGAATAAAAGGAGTGCAGTAAAAGTGGGGATATAACGTCACATTCTATAGGCGTACTTTGTAAAATAAGTTTCAATAATATAAATAAGGCCAAGGTCTATAAAATGGAGTATACGCACTTATGCTTCTGACAAAATTGTTGCACTTTACAAGGAGGATTATATGTTGTTAATGGGATTAAACTTTTTTTTAATCTCTTGGAATTAAAAGTAACACTTCAGTACCTAAAATAAAAGATTAAAAAAATCAAAAGTTCAAGAATTATCACTTATAATAATCCCTAGTGCTAAAATTATTTCCCGAAATTTTTTTCAAGGTCACGATAGGATAATTCTCCCTCGTCTTCGAAGAGAATTATCATAACAAAAACATAAGTGAAACCGAGAAAAAAATTTCCTGAAATTAATTTTGGCACGTGGAGTATTCGGTAAGAAAATTTTATAACAAAACCTTCCAAAAATCCTTTAGGTACCTGCTTTTTGACAGGAAAATTAAATTCCTGACAGGTGCTAGTTAAACACATACTTTTTTATTAGAGGTATCATAGTAGGTTGTTGAATGATGAGTTTGCCTGACCAATTGCAAAACAAGGTGTGTAGTTGTGTTTATTAAATAATTTAGTTTTCCTATGTTCTAGTAAAATGTGGTTAATTTACTAGTGAAAAAAATTAAGGGATCAAAAAAAATCTCGATTTTTTGCGATTTTTCGAGTGGCTGTATCTTTGGTAAAAATGGTCGTACGAGAATGAAAAAAAAAAAACAATTTGAAGTTTGAAGTGTCTAGTTTATGGATCTTGCAATAAAAAAATTTCCAATCAACAATTAGCACAAAATCCTGATGAATATCATGGATAGAAAAAAAGCGATCCTCAAGTTCTTCAAAAATTCACTCGCATGAAACAATGAAACGACTTGATGGATCAGGTTGAAATTTTGTAGGGCTTTCGGGGGAACAATGGCCTATAAGATAAACAGTCAACATTTTCCCAATATTCGCAATGTGGCACGTGATTTTCTAAAAAACCTCAAAAAGACCTGTTTTCCGAAATTCTTCAAAGTCATGCTAGGGATGAAAAAAAAATTTTCTCGTTAAGGAACATACCAGAACCTTGTAGAGAATGAATCGAAGTTTCCGAAACCCCCCTTCCATTTTCTGAGCGGCAATTGGTTCCTGATATATTGACGAGAGAAGAGGAAATGACGCATTTTCGTTCATTTTCTGATAACTCAGCAAGTAAGGGTCATCTCGAGGCCATCAAAAAAAAAGAAATTGAAGCTTACTGAACCACCTATCCAATGCATATAGTGGTTATGTCGAAAAAATTTGTTCAAGTCCGTACAATAAAAATTAAAATAAAAATTTTTCAAAAATGTTCTATCCATAATATTCATCAGGATTTTGTGCTAATTGTTGGTTGAAAAATAAACTAGACATTTTTACCAAAGATACAGCCACTTTTTTTTGATCCCTTAATTTTTTCCACTAGTGTATTATTCTAGCAATATCACACAATTATATAGCACTAGAGAAAAGGAAAAAAATTACGTCTATTTCTGTTGAACATGGATGCAGTTAATTAATAATCGCAGATTTGATTTTGAATATTTTAATATCCTTAGGCTCTAGTAAGATGTAGTTTATATACCTGAATAAGGTAGATAATATTTTATAAATATCTCACAATTATATAATACTCGAAAAAAGCGAAAAATTGTTGGCTTAGTTTTATTGAAATTATTCTACATCACTTATTTTTATGACAGCTGTCAAAGCAGGTAAATTTCCACTTATTAATCTTACAGCTAGGTAGAGCAATTTCCGAATAAATACGAAGGTTGTCATGACAACCTTCAGAAATGATTGCATTTTATTGGCTGAAAATTGTCATAAAATTATCTTTAAAAGTCACTGTCTTCACTATAATTATTGGTATCATTATCATTGTACTTTTTGAGGTTTATTATTATAGGGTTAATTAAGTTTTCCATTGCTATATTCACTTTCCAAATTTAATTTTTCACCTTTTTAACATGATCAATTCATTTTTTCCAATGTTCTCCATTTACATCTGACACTGCCTTCAAAAACAAATTTCGCACATCAGGTAGTTTAAATGTTGTATTGTTTCGAGAAACATAATCATGTTCGCGTAACATGGCGTCTGATGGGTGTATGAAAACATCCCATATGTCTTAAAGGGAAATATTTAATATCATAAATTTTCCCATTAAATATTATTTAATGATATCAGATCGATTTTTTATTCTTAATTATTATTTTAGCAAATATTAGACATCGGTTGTCAGTGTCTGTAGTAACTTAGAAACAGGCCGTAGAATTTTGGGAAAAATTGTCAACATACAAGTGGTTAAAAGAAATCGAGAGAAGTTGTTTTCCAGTTTCTAAATTTCTAAATTCACAGCTAAATTGCGAAATACGTATGACCAATGAATGGGTAGCCAAAATTAAGTAAAATTTCATATCGAATATGATTTTGTGTTCGACATAAATTTATTTGACTTTTTAACGAATTTTTATTATTGATAATTAGCATAATGAGAACAATTCTGTGTGGGTATAACAGGTAATTAATTTGGGTTGCGATTTTACCTTATGATTTATTTGTATTTTTAAAATGTATTACTAGGTAAAATATACAGTGTGATACAAAAAATATAATGTCAATATAAATCCCTCTATATTTTAGACAATGTAAGGTAGGTAGATATACAAAAACTATACAAAAGTAACACGACACACATATTTTAGATTGTTTTTATATATCAAACAACATTTTATTTCTAACATAAAAAAATAAAAAGTAACATAGTAAAACAATAGTTTAGAGCCTCTACAAAAGACAAGACAAGAATTGATAGTTTCTTTTTACAACATTATGTTGGTCTGAAATAAAAAAATGGTTTGATTCCAAATTAAACTAGAATGAAGATATATAATGTTTGGAATTATAAATTATACTCTTCACAGTTTAACAGACACCCCCTCTAACTCCACATTTTTATTCAGATTTTTTTCAGAATCAATAGGCTTCATCCCCTTAAAAAGCTCGATTTTTAGTAAATATTTCATGTTGATATCGCTTTTGGTGTTTTATTTCAATTTTTGTTTATTTCAACCCTCCTTACCCCTCCATTTTGTTCAAAAAATTTTTTTAAAATCAATAGGCTTTGTCCCCTTATAGATCTTGATTTTTGCTAAAAATTTCAAGTTGATATTGTTTTTCGTTTTTGAGTTTGGATTTCTTTCAATAGTTCAACCTTCCTTAAATACCCCATTTTTAATCAAATTTTATTCGAAATTAAAGAGTCTTTTCCCCTTATAAATCTTGATTTTGCTAAAAATGTCATGTTGATATCGCTTTTCGTTATTTATTTTTGATTTTTTCTTTTTTAACCCCCCCTTTATTAATTAGATTTTTTTTCAAAATTATAAAGCTTGATTTTTGATAATAATTTCAAGTTGATATCGTTTTCTGTTTTTGAGTTAGGATTTTTTTTTATTAAGATTTTTTTTCAGAACCAATAGGCTTCATTCCTTTGTAGAGCTTGTTTTTTACTAAAAATTTCATGTTGATATGACTTTCCATTTTTGATTTATGATTTTTTTAATATGTCAACTCATCTAAACCCCTCCCCCATTTTAATTTAGATTTTTTCAGAATCAATAGGCTTCATCTTCCTATAGAGCTTGATTTTCACTAAAAATTATATGTTGATATCGCTTTTCATTTTTGATTTGTTTTTTTTTTAATTTAACCCCCTAAACTTCCTAATTTTCATTAGTTTTTTTTTAATCAAAGGTCTTTTCCCCTTATAGCGCTTAATTTTTGATAAACATTACAAGTTGATATCTTTTTTGTTTTTGAGTTAGGATTTTTTTTAAATATTTTGATCCCCTTCAACCCCCATTTTATTTTAGATTTTTCAGAATCAATAGGCTTCATCTTCTTATAGAGCTTGATATTTTCTTAAAATTTCAAGTTGATATCGCTTTCCGTTTTCGATTTTTGATTCTTTTTTATTTTCACCTTCCCCCCTTTAACCAACTTTTTGAGCTCTACGTTGGCGACCATGTCGCAACGCGGGTTCTATACACGATATAGAATCTTTTTTAATTTTTAATTTTGCAAAATTATGAAAATTGGAAATTTATGAC